AAAATATGACACTAAATAGGACGCAATTGAGAAAATGGATTCATGTAGCCCCACGTAGTAGGATTAAGGCTTTGTTGTTGTTGATAGCACTCAACAAATTAATTTATAAACTACTAAAACTTTTGCTTGCAAAGGGACGTATTTGATAGCACTCAAAACAAATATTTGCTGAAATTTTAGAGCCAAATGCATTAGTAATATATTTTTATTTAGTATATTTGCTAATAGTTGTGTTACTTTAGAATGATTTATGCTATTGCTCATTTGATTTTGTCAGCACTTCATCCCTACAGGTTTGGCAAGCCAACAAAAAATCTTCTCTTTGGTGTTTTATTTACTAACCGTGATTTATATACATACATTTAGTCTTTTTGAATCTTAGTCTCTGAACAACTTCGATGTAGAATGTTTTAGGGCCTAGTTTTTTCTTAATGTAGGCATTGGATGGAATACACAATGCACATAAACATATTAAAATTCATAGTCCACCAAGTCTTAGTAAATAAAAAAAATTTGTAAGAAAATTGAGAAGGAAATAAAACAAAACATTATTATGATTCACTCCGCAGAGAAGAAACTCATTGTGGCAAACTTCATCATATATGAATCATACATACAAACTCAATCACAAAATATTTTGATGAGGGCAAGGATGGATGCAGTTCACGAGATGATTTAGCCTGACATTGGAAAAACCTCAAAAATTTTATATATGACATGCGCTGCTGTTGGAAAACTCTATCCAAGCAGCACATGCTGGTTTGGGAGGAATCTTTTGTTTCTTTTTGCAATTTATTGATTTTTATGTCTTAGGGGTCCTATTTTTTGCCAGAAATTTCCACAAAGGTACTTTCCTTTAACATCCCCAAAATTAAGGTTAATAAAACAAGTATCAGTTTCAGCAATCTTACATTCCTTGTTACAGTTCTGAGCCGAATTAAGGAATTGCACAGTCAACTCTAGGAGGAAACAATATCTTGTCTGGTTATCGTGATCGGAGGGAACTGACTGCAGTAAATGAGGAGGAAGTCACATTAGGTAAGATACGGTGGGTTTAACATCAGATGAAGTATAAAAATACTCCCCAAAAGCTGCTTCAAATCAGCAATCTACAACACCAAATTTCGCTTTATTGTGGGCAAACTGAGGAAACCTAGGTATTAGGGATTAAAAATTAACTCCATATAGGGAATGTGATAACGTTAGTATTAAAGCAAACCTATTAAGATAATTTAAACATTAGAAAGGTCACCAATTTATAATCATAAACATCATAGGTGTGTTTTCTATGAAATGAAATGAAAAAATTAAATAAAACAACTAAAGCAGTCCCAAGACGGAGAATCACCACAAGCTTGCTTCAATTCTCACATCCCGTGTTTCCAACTAGCATAAAACTTCTACCCATCAACCACCTCCTGAAATGTGCAAAATTATGAATAAAAGGCTTGTTTCTATTTTTGGTTTGTCGATTAATTAAAATTTAATCCATCTTCTATCCTTCTTCATCCTCAATTTATGTGGATTAGATGAAGCATCCAAATTGTTCATGAACCCTAATATTTATTCTTCTTTTAAACGTTTCCTTTAGGACAATTAATATGAAAATATTTTCAGTTGAAGCTACAGGTTCATGATTCTTTTGGCAGGTTCATGAAGGCAGGAAACATGAAGTGCGTGAATTGATAAAAAATGCTGGACTTCAGGTTATGTTCGATGAACCTCTTTTCTTGTAGAAAATTAGAATGTGTTCTATTAGCTTCCATAACGCAATAATTGGAGTGCCTTGTCATTATATTGCATATTGAGCAAGTCATTTTTATAATAGACTTTTCGTTATTGGGAGATTTGAGTCATTGTTTAAAGTTTATTTGAGCCAGATCCTTTTTCTTTCTTACATGAGGTTGTAAGATCCTAGGCAAAAAATTATCACCTTAAAAATCTCAAAGTCGTTCTATGACACCACCAATTGAATTGGCTTCTCTTCTCAGTTTTCTGTTGGCAAACTTCAAACTTCGTCAATTTCCATTTAGACATCCACTTGCAACCAAAAATGTTGCTTGGCTGAGTTCAGGCTAGAGTATGCCTTCCTTAGGAGAGCAGTGAATCCAACCCTTTTATTCCTTTCAAGTTTGCAGTCATTGAAACTCATAGTATAACACTACCAGTCGAATTGGCTTCTCTTATCAGATTTCTGTTGGCAAACTTCAAACTTCGTCAATTTCCATTTATACGTCCACCTGCAACCAAAAATGCTGTTTGGCTTTGTTCAGGCTAAGAATATGCCTTCCTTAGGAGAGCAGTGAATCCAACCTTTTTTTTCCTTTCAATTTTGCAGTTATTGAACCTCAAAGGTTAAGCTGCTTTTATAGAAGGTTTCTCCTCTTTTAAATGTTACCTTTTGAAATTGCTTATTCATGCATGGAGACATTGATGGAGAGGCACACCATACAAAAGGATTCAATTACTTATTGGCTCAAGTAACTTGTTTATGCTAACTTTTTTGTCCTTATGTTTTGATAGATTCATTCATTAAAACGTGTGAGGATTGGTGGATTTCGGCTTCCTTCAGAACTTGGGTAATTTTGTTTGCTTTTTAAAAGAAACTTTTACAGTGATCTTGTCATTTGTTAATTTCTCTTCATTTCATCTTCAAGAATTTTCACACCACTATCATTATGATGAGGTTTACCATATGCTCTAATTTACCATGCCCGTTATTTGAAAATATCCACATTTATAGAAATATATTTTCTTGGTGCTAAGATTACCTGCGAATTGTTAGATTTTTATTGCACTTCAATGATTCATTTTGTGATGGTCGCAGCCCTTTGTAAAATTATAGAATTGTTGTGAACAATTAAGTTTTAGAAACATATTATGGGTATTATGTGATTTTCCCTTTTATTAAATTGTCTGATTTCCTTATGACTACCACGCTTGTTCAGGTTGACGAAAGTTCCCCAACAAAATTTTTTGAAAGCAATTAAAAATTTTAGCTAAATAGAAGTAAATCAACGGTCTGTAAAATAAAGCTTTGAAACAGCTAGCTTAAATGCACCATGAATGAAGAAATATTATATCATTCAATGTCATATATCAGAGGCCATCTTATGCTCTAGTATTAAATGCATTTGAATATTAATATTCATATGAAATTATCTTCTCTAAAAAGGACCATAACTGATCGAGTAGAAATCTTCAAGTTCCTGGTCCAGTTGACAATAAAATTTAATACGTATATATTGTATGTATGTGTTTGGTGGTGAAAAATTTATGTGTCATTTTGGTCATTAACCTTTTCAGAATAGGGAAGTACATGGAACTCAAGGAATCGGATCTTAAACTGTTGGATGGCCAGATTCAAAGCCCTTAAAGAATGGACTATTGTATTGTTCAATATTCACATTGAATCTTGTGAAGTTTAATTTTCAAATGAATGATACGTATGACAACCTGCTTAAATCATAGGATTTGTGGAGGGCATGAAGTTCTGATCAATTTAATGGTCTCACAATATAGCTCACATTCAGCAGCATTTGCAGAGAGAACATTTTAGTCACGGCGAAGTGCAAAACTGTTTTTCAACCTTATTTGACGTGTAGAGAATCCGTTTTGGTCGCCATGACAAATGCAATATTATTTTCGTATAGACTTTGTATTTAGAAAGATTTTTATGATAATATGAACATTGGGCATGATAGAATCTATAATCACTGGTTTAGTTTCTTTTATCTGTTGTGATGGGTATGTTTTGACGTAAGACTTGTTGAATGTTGCACAAATTTTAATTAAATTTTGTACTTTGTGCCTTTGTTTCTTATGTTTACTCCAGTCGAATTAAAAAAATGTAGTGACTTGTGTATGAATTTTATAATCGGCTAAGATGAGATCTATAAATATATTTATATCAAAATCTATTATCAATCCAAAATCTTGAATGGTTGATCTCCTTGCATGTGTCGCATCCCCAAAGACCAAGTAATCACACTGCACTATCTTTGCATTACACCTTACTCTGACCCGACCTGTTAATTCGGTCTAGATTATTTCATTCGTGATAAGTATCTTGTTTGAAATAAAATATGTTTGGAAGCTTATGTTGAACACAGAAGTCATAACAGATTCTCTAAATTGCATTGATTTACTTAAGACATTTATGTCAAATAATACCATTATCAATTTGAATCTCTTATAGCGTTTGCACTTTTTGCTTATAGTGTACCCTCCTTTTTATTGGAAAATTTACATATTTACCATACAATTCTTATGTATTTTCATATCCAACATCTAAAGTTTGATATTGACATTTATAACACTTTAGTGTTATAAACCCGTGCAGAAAAAAGGTTCTCACTTTTAGAAAGTAATGGTTGTGTTTTTGCTACAATTTTATAGATCTGAGTGTTATTCATGTACATATGAAAGTTTAGATGTTAGATATACATAAATATATAAGAAATTATGCGGAATGTATGTAAGTGCTCCATTTTTACTTAGCCCTCACAAAACTATTGGAGCTGAGCTTATGGATGATAATCTTTTCATGTATTTTTGGTACAAAACCTTAATTATTGGAACCATGATGAATGTTTTATTTGTAAGAATTTATATACGTTGATCTTTATTAGAAATAAAATTTCCAGCAGAGTTAATTTGCCCACTTTCCTCCTTTCCCCCACCCAAAAAAATAATTTGGGCTAATTTGGCATCCCATAAATTAAATTTGGATTGTAAAGTTGCCAATATTTTATTTTGTGCCTCGAATGAGCTAGTTCTTTTGTCTTGTATGATTTGTGCCTTATCAGTGTCATATAATGCAGTCACGCTTTCTTTAGCCTAAATCTTTTTAGGATGATTGTATTTGTTTGAGAAGCCTTGTTGTAGTCTCTCAGGTGGATCTCATTGTATACAACACAAGTTATTATATATTGGATATTTTTACTTTATACTTGCGGTGCATAGTCTCTTTATTGGCATCTTATCATATATTACAGAGTTATTTTGTTTTAACGGATTACCATTAACTTATGCTGTAATTCCTAATGGAATTTTGGATCTTTTCACCTTATACTTGCGGTGCATAGTCTCTTTATTGGGATCTTATCATATTTACAAATTATTTTGTTTTAAGGGCTTACCATTAACTTATGTTGTAATTCCTATTGGAGTTTTTCCCTAC